TGACTCATGTTTTATCTGAAATTCAAATTAAACAGGACGTCTTGATTTTCTCTGGCAGCCCAGCCAGGACTATAGGCTGGGGCACTCCATCTCTCTGCATCTCTGATTGGGTGTCCCCCTCCACCCACCCACCCCCACACACAGCCACCCTCCCTCCTGGGAATTCCAGGAGCTGGCCCTGATTGGCTACTGTGCCCGTTCCTGAACCAATCACCGTGTTGCAGGGGGAGGAAGGTTATGACCAGAGGCCACATGGGAGCTTTGAGACCTCTGTGACTGTGGACATGGGCTGTGGTCATCTGCGGCCCAGTGGTTGTGGTCTCTGCTGGAGGTTCTGTAGTGGGCATATGGCCCCTTCCTGTCAAGGTCCCATCTGCCTACTTCCAGTGCTTCTCACTGTCCAGTTGGGTTGGCCTGTCCAGCCCAACCCAGACAAGAGGGGCACCATGGTGGGGTTTTGTGGAGCCTGGGATCAGAGGAGCAGCGAAGACTGTGGGGAAAATATAATTACTCCATCAGTGGGGCTCCCACATGCACCTGCTCACTCACACGTCTGCTTCTCATTAGTGAAAGCAGATTCCCTTACCAAAGTGAGATCTTAATGTTGTTCAAAGGCTTCTGAAGACACCGGGGTGGCTTCTACTTTTCCTTCTCAGCAAACAATCCCAATTGCCAGGGGGCCTCTAGACCATTCTAGAGCCACAGAAGGGTTTGGGTTCCTGAGGGGAGAGGGGCGGAGGAAGGGAGGCATAAGCCTCCACCTCCCCGGAGGCCGTTTCTCTAGGGAGTCCCAGCTCAGGTATGCCCTGCCAAGGGTCCAGGCCCAGAGCTGTTCTCAAAGGTGATGTTGGTGGGTGCTGGTCCCACCCTGCCCTGCATGCCCATGCTCTGGCCTCTGCTGACAGTTAGAGGAAGAAGCTATGATGCTCCCAGAAGTGCTGTCACCAAGGGCTAAGTCTCTGCACCCTAGCCCTGCCCCAGCTCTCCAGGAACTGTACCCACGGAGGCTCCCAGCTGTTGGTCTGTGTGGAGGTAGCCCCCCAAGGCTGCACCTGGGGCCCGGGTCTTCATGGGTGCGTGTTGGAGCGATGACTGCAGACAGATGGCATCGTTCACCCGGGGTGAAAGACAGTGCCTGGTGCCAGGGGTCTCCTCTGGGCTAGCCCAGCAGCCTTCATAACCCAGGGTGCCCTGAAGGGTAGACCCCACTGGCTCTGGGTTTGGGGTGGTGTGTGTAGGAAGGAAGCAGACAAAGGAACACAGATCCCTAAAGGCAGTGTGTTAGGACAGGCTGATCCTCAAGGATGAGATGGGGTGCTCTGGCACCTCCCCCACCTCAAAGAGCCTGGTACCCCCAGCCTGGTACTCCCTGAGGCTGGCGAGGCTACAGGAAGTGTTCCCATTCCAGTATGTGTACCCCCCTGCTTTGGGGGCCCCCAGGGCATCCCCTTCATGCGGGGCAGCAGGTGGATGGACACCCGCTACACATCAACTCTAGAATGAATGAGTACAGGTCTACCCCAGTGGGCAGGGGCCTCCCTGCAGTCTCAGTCCCCAGCCACACTTGGGGGGTCGTGGGGACCATCCTAGGGTGGAGAGGTGGGCTGGAGGGAAAGAAGGACCCAGGGTAGTGGTGTCCTTTGTGTGGGCTCAGAAAGGGTGTCATTTCCCAGCACCCTCACCCGGTCTCCCCCAGGAGGAAGGCCACTGGGGTCTCCATTCCACTAACAGGGCAGAGACCATGGCCCTCCGTCGTCCAACTTCTGTCTGGAGGCAGGGCTGGCCCAGGACTGTCACTCACAGTGACACCAGAACACAGATCCACCAACCTGGCTGCCCTCACCCTCAGGGCAGTGCCCAAAGCAGGTTCCAGAGGGCGGGCACCACTGAAGGACCATCAGGCCTGGGCTGACTCCTCTGGTTTTGGAAGCAAGCGAAGCAGGCTTGTTAGGGGACAGGAGGAATGCAGTGGGTGCAGCAGGTTGGGGGGATCCCTGGGTTCTGGGGGCACAGCCTCTCACCTCTTCCCCTGGTGCTACTTGTCCATTTCTCTGGTCAGTGCCCTTGGCCAGAGCCTGGAGTGGCCCCTCCCCCAGCACAGCTTCTCAAAGCTGCAGGTTGAGGGGTTTTTCCCTGGGCCTAGGGCCCAGCTGGCTGCCTCACCCAGCCCCTGGCAGGCGGCCAGCTGCAGGGTGAACAATTAAAGCCCCGTCCCCAATTGGTTGGTGATATTAGAAACGAATTGTGACCAGCCGGCCATCATTTCTACCTGATAAAACATCACTTTTATTGATCATGTCCCCAGTGTCCCAGTGTCCACAGAATGGCTCATTTGTCTTGATCAAAGTGTAGGCTTGCGTTTTTAACCCTTGGGGCTCCACAGCTACAAAGGGCCCAACCACCTCTACCCACCAATCCCTGTCTACATCCAGGCCCCCTATTCAGGTGACAAGGCAGGAGGGGGCAGGGCAGAAGTTAAGGGGGAGGGGAGGGCAGCAGCCTGGGTCCCAGGAGAGACCCCACCCCCAGCTCCTCAGAGGAGTTCCTGGAGGTGGACCCCCATGCCCACACCCCAAGCCAGGGCCACTCTGGCAGCCTCATCCCCAGCTGTTGATGGATTGCGGGTTACTTCTACCTATTGGCTATTAGGAATCTGGCTGCTCTGAACGTGCCCAGGTTTGTGTGGACATAGACCCAGAACTAAGTCCTAATTCCACGTGACTGGTGACCTTCCAAGAGAGAAGACAGGAGGCGGCCATGTGCAGAGAGCAGCCGCCAGAGGCCTGTACAATAGTTCATGTATTTATTCTTAAGCAAGTTATCAATAAAAAATTTAATACTAAAATGCCTTTACATAGAGTCTGCTGTTCATAAAACCTTTGTGTGTGTGTGTGTGTTAGTGTTTACATTGAAAAAAAATTCCCACCATCACCTTACACATTTACAATAACCGCGGTTTTGCCGTGTTTGACCACGGAGGGGGGCATTGGATAAGGGACACCATACACACGCACAGACAGACAGACAGACAGAAGAAAAATGAAAGGGAAGTGGAAAACACAACAGAAGAGTGAAGAGACGCCCATGGGTGGGTGGGGGGGCATAGACCCTTGATGGTGGCTCGAACTCTTTCCTGGCCACGCCTCTTGGGGTTCAGAGGTCAATTCACGAGCCAGTGGCATCTCCTCCCCATGCTTTTCGTTCCCAGCTGCACCCAGAACCTCGACACCCACGGGAATGACATATTGCACTCATTGGGGGAGGGAGCACTCCAGCGGGGTGCAGGGGACCCCAATAATAAAATGGCCCTCTGCTGTCCCCAGTCTGTCAGCAGGGGCACCGGGAGGGGGGCTTTGAGGTGGAGAGGCAGCAATGGGGAGCTCAGGGACCCAGGATGGACTTTAGGGCTGGGTGAGGAAAGGGGAATCAGAACCCAGGCTGGGGTTGTGGCCTGGGGACTGTCACCATGACCATGTGGCTTCCTGGGGGCCTTGAACTGCAGCAGGGAGGGTGCAGGGTTGCCTCATTTGCAGACAGAAAGGCTGTGGGTTGCGAGCCGCCTGACCTGCCTGTCCTTCTTGGTCATGGGTAGAGACCCTTACTTCATGCTATGCAGACACAGAAAATGCCCAGCGACCTCTGTATGCGTGTGTATGGGGGGCAATCCCTCGGGGGGGGAGAGGATTCTCAGGACCAGGTGGGTGGGCAGCACTGTGAACCCACGATGCCGCTGTCTGCATCCAACCCCAGTGCCCACCACAGCCCAGATGCTCAGTGGGGCTTTGGGGCATCCAGAAGGTCTGCAGTGGGGTGGGGCTCAGTGTGAAGTCCTGCACTTGGTGGGCTTGGGAGGGATAGGGCCAGGACCCGTGGACCAGCCCCAGGTCGGTACCCCCATTCACACCCCATGAGGGCCGAGGGAGCTGCCACTTTCAACCCCTTTGGCTGGGAACACACTGGGGAGGAAAAGGTGCCTCCCCTCCCGAGTATGGGTTTGGACGGGAAGGAGGGGCAGAGTAGGCAAGAGGCTGGCTGTGATCTCCCCAACACATGAGCCACAGAAATGGGGCTCTCAGAAATGACTCAGGGTATTTAGGAAACAAACCTAAAAGAGCACTTTTCCTTAGACTTTTGAAAAATATTTGTTCGTTTTGTTTTGCTCTAGAGGTCAGAGCCATATGGCCGGCCTCACACTGTGGGCTGGGGGTCGCCATCCTGAAGCCCCTCACCACCAACCCCAACACCAGGACATAGATTGCAAGGAAGTTAACGGGAGCATGACTTCCGTCCTACAAGTTCCCCCAGAGATGACAGAATGTGGAGTGGTTGATCTGTCCCCTCCCCACAGGGACCTGGGTTCTGCCCTCACTGGTCCAGTCCGCACTTCAGTGACCCCGAGAAACCAGTGCATTTTCAAAGAAACCAACCCCCAAACAAAATTCCTACACACACTCACACATACAGACATACATGCACACACACACTCGTCACAGGTGCGGGGGGGGGGGGGGGG